CAAATATACACATTTTATCTCCATTTGGCTTGTAAAAGCAAAGGATTTTTTCTTACAAAATCTTAAAAAAAAAAAAGAAAAGGAAAGTGGGTACACTTGGTACGAGGAAAAATAATAATTATACACTTTTTAGGCTATTTCTTATCCTCTTCAAAGAATCAAGAATCAAATGATAATTCTTAACATATTTCAAAAGTTTTTAAGCCACCTTTTTTTTTTTTTTTTGGCCAAGAAGTTTTAAGCTTCTTAAGATGAGTATTTGCATTTGCAATCATTCTTAACATAACTTTTTTTTTTTTACTAATCTTCTTCAGAAATCCAATGATGATTTTCTAGAAAAATAATTTCTATTGATTTTAATTTGATTACCACTATGGCATTATATGATTTACATGCATAACCATGAAATAAATATATAATATTTCAATTTCATTTTGAAATATTATAACGGTTATATATATATAGAGATCAAAATTTATATTTATAAAGTATTTACGATAACTATGAGATAAATGTATAATTTTTAATCTTACGATTGAGATATTATGAAAATTAATAAAATATTTTTATAAAATAAAATGACAAATTTTTTCGTTAGATCAAATAATATTTTATAAGTTTAATATAGATATAAGTTGTTACAAACTATAGTTTATACAAAACATTATATCCTTGCTTTGGTCAAGTTCATTACTTCCATTTCTCTTTTTGGATCTTCTAAATATTTCCTAAAACAATCCCATAAATTATATCTCTTCAATAAACAAATGATAATCCTTGGATGCTAATTTTGCAGTTAATGTCTATGTTCATGTTATGAAAAATCAGATAATATAAGTTTAGAAAAAACTTATATCTAGATGTAAACATCTTTCCAAAAAAAAAAAATCCAGATGTAAAGAAAAATTGGACTTTTTTTTTTTCCTATGTTTTCATTTTTTAAAATTTTGATCACTCAATTGTCTCTTAGAATCATATCAAAGCTTAGGTTTCAAACTTAAATCTTGAAAAACTTGCTTAAAATTTTGAGATAATTGGTCACTATACATATACTAGCAAGAATCAAATCATAAAATCCTTCAATCGAACTCTCAAATGGACTTTAAATCTTGCAATACATTTTCTTTAACATTTTCAAAAATCAAATGATAATCACAAACATACCAATAAAAATTTTCAGTGTTCAGTGGAAATGGATATTTATGTTCATGTTGGGGAAAAAAAAACCATACCTCCTACTAATTTTTTTTTCTTTAGCAGAAGATCAATGATAACTTTGTACATTGAGTATTTGGCATGCCAAATTTGACCAGGCAGTTAGAGACGAACATCTGATGATGGAAGATGAGGTTAGATTTTCCATTTTCCCTACCTCACTATGACACAAACATTGACTGTACCCTTACCTTCCAAAAGAGCTGAAGCAAGCTTTTAATAATTGATTGAGAGAATGACATCACTAAAAGCACTAAAATTCCTCCCAGTTGGTTATCTTCTTATCAAGCACCCAATTGGGCAAAACATGTGCCATCCTAGTTGGTTAATATATAATCAAATTGCCAACCCATGTTATCCTCATTCACCGGCCCACCCTTTTGTCATTGTACAACTTCTAGAGAATGCAGATCCTTCTACTAACTTTGTTGATCAATAATCTTCAATGTATCTGTCGTTTATCATGATCATTCACCCTCAAATTTCACTCATGAATAATCTTCAATGTATCTGTCATTTATCATGATCATTCACACTCAAATTTCACTGATGAACTATATGTTTTATGTCTATGTAAACATTTTGGTGAATGCGTTGAGAGTTATAGATCCCAAAAGATCGGTACGAAGTATGAAGCAGGTTTATGGTATACTGAGCCAGCTAAAGTTGGCAGAGCAAAATAGGGATATCGTCCTTTTCCACTTAGCTTGATCCATCTAAGAGGAAGTGCAAAACAAATTGACTCAACTTGGTTTCTGTCTTAACCATCCACAATCATAAAACTATTTTCCAGGGTTCAATTTACAAGCATATAAACAAGCTGCATTGATAGCATCCAATCTTGGATGCAATCTGTGCAAAATTGGTGAGTCAATTACAGCAAAACAGCATTACAACGATCCATCCATCTACATTTCTGCTAAATTACATTTTAAAGAGATTTGCCAAGATTTGAGAAAGTTTAGCGCATTACTTATCTTCCAACAATGTTTGCAACAGGCTGAGGCCCCCTGGTTATCGATTAACATTGATGACATAAGGAAAAATAAAATACCAAATTGCATTTACAGCATAATCACATATTCAAACTTTAAGTACAAGAAGATTGTTTGGCCATATCAACATTCAAGAAGATGCTCTCTTGGAACATTATTCTTTAAATTTGACATCCAAAGTTATTTTTCCCTTTCGAAGGAATTATGTACCTCGAAAGGTTACTTTCATGGTGAAGATGTATGTTTTAAATTATAATCCACACATAAAGAGATAAAAAACAAAAGAAAATAAAGCTGAACAAAAATGGAGAATGTAGTCATTGTCTCAATTATGGTAGTCGTAGCTGTTATTGCAGTTGTCCCCCAACATATAAACATGATCTTTAGGCACACACTGCAAATCCAAGAAAAATGATAAAGTAAAGAAACAACTGTTTATACAAAAATAAGGAAGAGCGGACCAGGCAAACAGAGTACGACTCAAAGCCCTATGATAAACCCAAATCCAAGTTGATTCGAATCATGGAAGCTCAGACATAACATTATGGAGTCTACCTGGCTTCTTCATGTTCACATTTATTGTACCTCATCGAGTGATAAGGCAAAAACAAAAAAATAGCTTTACTCGGCAGGTAATTGCCGAATAATTTATCATGGTGGTTGCTACGCCCATAATGCTGTTAAATAAAACATTATTCTGGCCTATAAAATGCTGGAAAACTCAACAATTACATGGAGAAACGGCAAAGAGGGCGCACCGTTAAGTCCGATGTGTACGATGGCTGTTCAGCTATGAAAATTTCACTTTGTGCACTCCATTGACATAGAGTGACTAGAGAGCTTTAAGTAATATAGTGATTAGGGGAAAAGGCTGGCAAAAAAAAGAACAAAGCTTGCAATAAGTGGTTACCTAGAAGATTTTATAAAATGTTAAATACCTCTATGAGCACTTTATAACAAAACTTTTTCAGATTTATGGCCAACAAAACCAGGAATCTAAACCATGCAACAATAAACAATAGGAGAATCACAGTTTTGACACAGCCCTAAGGGAAGAAGACCAATGGATAGAGAAAGGAGCTAGGGTTGAGCAGAGGATTTATTAGATGTCTCAATCCTTCAAATCAAAGGGAGGCACCACGCATACTCTGGTTTTCAACAGGATTTCCATGAGAACTCCATTGTTGCCATGTTTTGACTGAACATATGTAATACCACATCACCCTAAATGTATTGTTTGCAAAATCTGTCACTTTAAATACAGGTACTTTGTATAATTTCTCAGCAAACTAACATACGAAGTTCTTTGTTTGTGTCATGATTCGACCAAATTAAATGAAGCTTTAGCTGATTAGGCTTTAATTAGCAGCATGTTAAAGCAAAGAATTAGCAGAGTAAAAACTTGATTTAAGAGAAACCTTAGAAATTGTCATTTTGCAACCTGAGAAACCATAGAAACTGCAATTTGCAAATCAATTTTGTGATGCTTGCTAGGAAATATTACTAATTAGGCTATAAATAACTAAGCTGGCTTGGCAAACTAGGAAAATATTAAGGGTCCATGAACATAGATGAAGATGAATCTAACATGTCATTTATTAAACTTCTCAGTGTGCTTTCCTGGGATTAGGGAAACAACTACACGGCTTAACTCATTAATATGGAACACTTAAAGATTGTGCTTTTCCCGAGAAAGTGTTTAGTGCGGGCGTCATGGATTCACGTTTCTAACCTAAAAGACATGTTTAAAGACCTATGATTTATAAACTAAAAACTATCCCTTCTTTCACTTACGAGAGATACACCTGCACTTGCCTCGAACTCTTAAGTAAGCCATTATTCAAAATCTTCAATAAGCAAGCCAATGAACTCTTAAAGAAAGAAATCCAATAACATTCTAGATCAAGTAGCCATTCAATGTACTTGGCAAATTAGGAAAGTTGCTTCTCTTAAGTTAGAAAACACAATTTCTCGCATAATTAAACAAAATTTGAGATCATCCAAAGTTTTTTTTTTTAATTCTTAATTTACCCTTAAATCTCTTATCTTATTAAATTGTTTCAAATTTATAATCTCTAACTATCAATTTCAATAACATATTAATAGATCCAAAGATCAATAAACTATTCACAAAGTTTAATTTGAAATAATTTAGCTAAATTTTATATCATTTAAACCGTATACATATTTGAAAATTTCTTTGCTAAAGTAATTTTCTCACTTTTAATCCACTAATTATTTATTTTCCTTTCTTCGATTAAAACAAATCAAACTGATTTCCTTTTTGTTTAATTAATTTTCCATAAAAAACTTGTGCTATTGCAAGGTGTAGCATCAAATTGATCATAATTCACAATATGGGTGATTTCTGATTCTCTTACAATTTCGTGTGGCCCATTAGTTTGTGGATGAGGAATTCTTTTCAATATTCTTTTTTATACTAATGATAGTAATATGTTTGGGTCCAAATTTGGGACACTCTCAAAGTAAAAATTACAATATTAAATGTATTCTTCTTCTCCATTGAGCTATACTTTATCATTTCGAAGAAACTTTTAATGTGAATGGGTCTTTCCTCTCATACCTTCACAAATTGGGCCCCAAATGTCTTACAACCCATCTTCTTTATAGCATAATCCCCTCCCTCATATATTAAAGAATTCCCAAAGATTTTGTTTTCTTGGACAATTCGTTCAAACTTGAAAGTTGAAACTGTCAGCTATGAAATCGACTTCAATATCAATTAACAGTATATTGATAAAGATTTTGTTTTCTGGTAAATAAAATACCCAATGATTTCAAACCCACGAAATCAAACAATCGGATACCATCCCGAATTTCCAATCCCAAACTTCCGGCTTTGGTGTGGATAAAAATTGACTACCGCTGCCAATTAACGAAAAACCTCAAAAGGACCCCACCCAATAGAATAATCACAAATCTAATGCTTCAGTAGCGTCCACGTGTCCAATATAAAAAAGTGGGATCCACTATTCTTCAGACTACGTCATCCCTTACAACATAAAAGGCTTATCCCCTTAAATACCTATATTTTCTCATCCAACAGTAATCTAGACCAACAAGTGTCAGTGAGTAAAACCATGAAACCCAGAGCACTTTTCAGTTTCTTACTCCATTTCTTCTTCGCCTTTCTATGTACGGCGGCGGACCTTGAAGCCCTGAAAGGAAACAGCATAGTTTTTACTTCTTATGGCCGATCAAATTATGCTTGGGACATCTTTACCCTCTCAACTTTGGAACCGCCAAACCCTTCAAATGAACTACAGATTACCGACGGTGAATCCGTCAATTTCAACGGTCACTTTCCGTCGTCTACGTCGTCCTCCATCCTCTTGCATCTACACGATCGAAACCTCTTTCAACACCCTGGTCTACAAGCGCCGCCGCCGCTCCAGCTCATCTACGTAACGGAACGCAACGGGATGTCAAATATTTACTACGACGCGCTTTATTATGGTGAGCACCGAAACACCAGATCAAGATCGGCCCTTGAAATTCCCGTCCGAGTTCAGGCCCCTTTGTTGGGTTTAGAAGAAAGCAAGAATCGGATTTCGATGAAAGACAGGCCGAGTTTGAGTGGGGAGCATTTGATTTACGTGTCTACTCATGAGGACCCTGGTGAGCCAAGAGCGAGTTGGGCTGCTGTGTACTTGACTCAATTGGGAACTGGATTGACTCGACGACTTACTCCTTATGGAATCGCCGATTTTAGCCCCGCCGTGTCTCCATCTGGGGTTTGGACAGCTGTGGCTTCGTATGGGAGTAAAGGTTGGGAAGGGGAAGTGCGAGAACTGAGTACTGATATCTATGTTTTTTTGACTCGTGATGGGACTCACCGAGTCAAAGTTGTTGATCATGGTGGGTGGCCGTGTTGGGTTGATGACTCGACTCTGTATTTCCATAGAAGAAGTGAAGACCAATGGATAAGTGTTTATAGAGCTACTTTCCCAAAAGATAAACCGGTTTCTACCGATTCAGTGACGATTCAGCGAGTCACACCACCGGGTCTCCACGCGTTCACCCCGGCTACTTCCCCAGGTAACCATAAGTTCATAGCAGTCGCTACAAGAAGACCGAATTCCAATTTTCGCCATATAGAGCTGTTCGACCTTGTTAAAAAAGAGTTTGTTGAGCTAACTCGGCATGTTTCTCCTACAACACACCACTTAAACCCGTTTATATCCCCTGACTCAGCCCGAGTTGGGTACCATAAGTGTAGGGGAGAAAGTAATGGAGGGAAAACTCCCCAATTATTGCTTGAAAATGTTCAAAGCCCAGTGCCAAATCTCTCTCTTTTCAGAGTCGACGGTTCATTCCCTTCTTTCTCACCCGCGGGTGACCGGATAGCCTACGTGGATTTCCCCGGCGTTTATGTAGTGAACCGGGATGGTTCGAACCTGCGTCAGGTTTTCCCCATGAATGCTTTTGCAACCGCTTGGGACCCGGTTCGGAAAGGAATTGTATACACAAGTGCTGGGCCGCAGTTTTCAAGTGAGAGTACCGAGGTTGATATTGTATCCATCAACGTTGATGATGCTGACCAATCAAATTTTAAAAGGTTGACCATCGATGGTAAAAATAATGCATTTCCCTCACCTTCACCCGATGGGAAATGGATCGTGTTCAGATCGGGTCGGACGGGTCACAAGAATTTGTATATAATGGATGCGATCAACGGGGAGTCGGGCGGGCTCCAAAGATTAACGGATGGTCCGTGGACGGACACAATGTGTAATTGGTCACCGGATGGTGATTGGATCGCATTTGCTTCGGATCGGGACAACCCGGGTTCGGGGAGTTTCGAGTTGTATTTGATCCACCCGAATGGTACTGGTTTAAGGAGGTTGGTTAAGAGCGGATCAGCCGGGAGGGCCAACCATCCGTCATTTAGACCGGATGGGAAGTTGATAGTGTTTACTACGGATTATGCGGGAATATCAGCTGAGCCAATCTCAACCCCACATCAATATCAACCATATGGTGAGATATTCACAATTAAATTGGACGGTTCGGATATGAAGAGGCTGACCCACAATTCTTATGAAGATGGGACCCCTACGTGGGCCCCATTGTACATCAATCCAGTTGATGTAGAGCGGCCGAAGAAGCCCCAATGTGCATTTGAGGACTGTCATTGGCTCAACGAAATGCCAGACCGTGGCACCAAGGTCGAACCATTGGGGTTAGCCAAGCCCCAATGCGGTGCATGATTCCAAGCTTTTCTTGCATAACATAAGAATACTTACGTATGTTGGTGTACTGTAAATTTGTACGTTGGAAATAGTTTTGGTGCACCATCGGAATATTTTGTATTTCCTTGGTGCCTTCCTTTTTTTTTTTTTTTGTACTATAGTTGATAAAAATAATGAGCATATGTCCCTGTATGTTGTTTTCATTTTTTTGGGCGTAACATATGCATCTATACCCATTATATAAATTTTGGCGAAAATCAAGTCAAATAAGCATAAATCCATGTCTTCTAAACTTGAAAAATTAAAAGCACGACGGATTTCATCAATCAACTGGTATGATAGTGACACAAAGAGCACAAGTAACACTTTCAAGGCAGTCAACATGATCAACATGGCCGCAGGGCATCATGCATGCGCTTAGCTTCAGTAGCAAAATTTCCAAGCCAAATCACACATTCGTTGCCCAAACCAGAAATGTTCTCCAATGCCTCAATGGCCGATTTACTAGAAGGCACAAACCCAAGCTCGTTAACTTCCATTGCTGTCTCCCGTGCTGCATCCTCCTCTGCCTCATCATTGTATCTTATGGATCCAAACGTTAAGACATTCAAGAACTTGGTTCGATTCACGTTCCGTTCATCGTCCATAATAAATTTGATAAAATCTCGTTACGAAGTTACAAAGTTTTCACAAACATAAATTTTATTATAATAGTTTAGTTGATGTATGATATTAAAAAACTTCTGAGAGTGTTATGAGATAAAAGTAAATTATTTAAATTTAAAATTTAAATAATATATTAAAAAATTAAGCCAAAAGTTGAAAATTTCTAGTAATAAATAATTTCACATTATTAAAAAATTATACACATAATAAAAAAAATGTGTTTCCATTTCTTTTCTCAATTAGGGTTAATTTGTAACATTATTCTATTATTTTTTTAATTCAAAATTCTTAAAAAACTGTAAAAAATAAAATTTCATGATTTCAATATATCCGTAAACTTACTTGAATCAACCAAAAAATAAATGTATTAATTCAATCACAAAAATCCTTTCCCATTCAATAAAAATTATTATTTCTTACCGACTCGTCCAATTTTATTCACAAATTTCTCTTTTTCTAACACAAACTCAAAACCGCTATATTATGACGACATCTGTACGCTTCAATCTGCTCCAATGGATTTTATATCCAAAAAACGGCGTAGTTCACTCTCAATCTAAAAAAACCAACGGATCAGATCTTTTTGCCTTTCAAATCACTAGATTTTCGCGCTTTTTTCATTGGAATCTTTCAGTACAAAGCCGATCGTTATTTCTTCTCCCTCGAAACCTTTCAAGAATCAAAACAAGAAGAAAAAATCCTAAAAAGTTTACAACAAAATTCAATCTCAAATTAGGTAAGAAAAATTCTTCCTTCTCAAATAAAAAAGAAAATAAGTATATGGTTATACATTATTTTCATATTTTTTATTTAATTTTTCCTGAATTTCTTGAAACCCACGTAACCAACTCTCATTCCATTTCTGCTATCGGCTTCTTGTTAGGGTTTGGATGTCGACCCGAAATCGGCGTTTGAATACATCATCGTCATCGTCGTCATCGTCAAGGGCAAGGAGACCGTCGATCACCAGGGATCAAAGCAAGAAGATGGGTGCTGCGAAGACGCAGTTTAGTAAGAAGAGAGTCGCTCTTAGCGACATAACCAACCAAGGAAATGGCTTTCAAAACGGGTCACGGGTCATGGCTACTCACTCAAAACCCATGGTTCGTTATTCTTTCACCACTGTTTTTATGCTTTCTTTCCTTATGAATTTCTTATGATTTACAGAAACAAAAAAAAAAAAAAAAGAGTTTAATTCCCTTTTAAGCTCTTGTAAGTTTCTTTCTTGAATTATAGGATCGAGATTATTCTTTGTCAAGTTCGTACTTATGGATGATGCCTTGCAAAATTATGAAAATAATTTTACCTTTGCAGTTGTAACTTTTGCTTTAACAAATTATTTTTCTCTGTTTAACCATAAAAAAATGAAATAATATGTTCTTAGGTCTTAAATTGTAAGTTGCTTGGACTTCAGAGTGAGTTGTTGGATATGGTATGTGTTTGACATGCACATTCAAGATTTTCTGTGTTTTTCCTTACATTTGAAGGATCAAGACCTCGTATCCACATCCACTTTGAGGTGTCAAGTACGTGTCTTAAACGTTGGTACTTGAGGAAAAAAGAAGAGTCGGGTTTTAAGAACCACATTTTCTTACAAATCAAAGTCTATTTTGACTTTCACGGCTTTCTAGTTGGGTGAAGTTTGATGCATGATTGCTCCATAGGAGTGCATATATGCAATGTAGAAATATCCCCACGTTTGTGATGGCTGTATTTATCATTTTAGCAATTCCGTTTTAAAGGTATTATGGAGCTTAAAGTGATAGGTCATAAGTGTTTTATAACCTTGAATCAATTTACCAACAAACTTTTATGTAAAATTTGTGACTTTATCATCAAGATTATCTATAGAACTCATTCTGACATCTGCAAACAGAAGGTTAATTAATTTTGTTTTTGAAGGTGCCTTGTACGTCCAAAGTTGCCAAGAAGAAGGAAACTTCTACTTGCACTCAGGATAATGATCTATGTTGGAACACTTTGCCTAGACCTTTGAGTTTAGAATCATGTGGCAGTGTTTCTTGTATGGATACAATTCGGATGAGAGATGATCATCCTACCACAGAAGTTTTAGGTCTTCCTTCTTCAAGCAGCTTGCATACGCCTAGAAGCATGAATATCTCTCCATGTAGATCATTTTGTGCTTCAGTCTCTTTGGATGAGACAATGTCTACTAGTGATTCCTTGAGCAGCCCAGATTTTGAATATGTAGAGAATGAAGAGCTATCAGCAGTTAAGCCTATTGAGAGGAAGGCAAACAACAATCTGTCCATATCAGAGTACACACAGAAAGAAGGTTCTTTTCTTCTAATAGAGTTGAATTTGCTTAATACTGTCATTTCCGTTTGACTGTCAACTAAAATTCCCATATATGGTGATGAATATGTTAGTTTAGGCCAAAATGTTTTAATCAATTTATTTAATTTGGAAAATGAAAATTAATAGTATTAATTTTTGGCCCACCTCAATGTTGTACTGTTACACCAACCTCAGGGAAGATTTCCAAGAGAAATGTATTTTTGGAGGTGGGACCGAATGATAATGTCGTTGCCGTTGATAACACTTTCACAGATCCCCAGTTTTGTCCATCCATTGTTCATGACATTTACAAGAATGCGCGTGCTGCTGAGGTATACCATTTTTTTTTTCATCCTGCCAATCATAGGCTGTTTGCTTCATGGTTAGTTAGATTATGTAGTGTCACTTAAAAAAACAAAAAAAAACTTATATGCATAGTTACATTAACTTTCTTTGTAATTATAAAACAATACTTACATACATATTGCTTAGTTTTTAGTTGTTTTTCTGATTGTCTTTTAGATGTTTACTTTCTTTTAATGAATGTGGAATTGAATTTACCTCTAGTTATACCTCTACTTTTGATATTGGCAGGTGATAATAATCTCAGTTGTGGTTAAAAAAATAAATGGTAATTCATACAGTAGCAGGGTTGCTGTAATCTTGATTCTTCAAGTTCAAATAGGTTTTATGTTTCAGGTTCTGATAATTTATCAAAAATTTGAACTGGAAGCTGCAACCTTAAACAATAGAATATCAGGTTAATCATAATAGTGAGTTGTGCATGCTCGTGGATTGTCTTTTTGGAACAGTTGATGGTTATATTCGTTCTTTTTTCTTATTATTTTTAAAATTTAAATATGCATATCCTCCAGAGGTGACCCTATCAAAGTTTTGGCTATTAATTTATGGCCTTGAAGTGAGATATTTGTCAACTGGGTTATGGCCTATTTTGTTGTTGTTACTACTTTAAGTACTTTTCTTAGAAATCCTTAGATGTTTATCTTTGTGCTTCTATGAGTCATATTTTTTACATCTAGCTTGAAAATTATAACTGGCAACTAACGCAATTTATTATCTTGGAAATTTTACAACACTGTTCAATGCACATAGAAATGCTAGTAAAAATTACCATACCTGGTTTTCGGTTAACCTTGTCAGGTCTAACTGTATTGGTCCTTATCTGTTCAAAATGTGATTGATTGTATAGTAAGTTATACAGAAATAGCATGCATTTTGCACTTGCTGAAATTTGACTAACATGACTCTCTTTCTATGTTATATATTTTGCTTTAAGAGTTAAGACTCCTGCTTGATATGTTTCATACTATTCCTTGTGTTTTGTAGGCCAAAAAAAGGCCTTCTGTACACTTCATGGAGATGGTCCAGAAAGATATTAATGCCAGCATGCGAGCTATTCTCATCGATTGGCTAGTGGAGGTAAATTATGATGGGTGATGATATACCAGGGCTGTTTATGTAATCCAAGAAACAATCCCTTTCCAGCTCACTGTTCAGGGTTGTTAATTTGTAATGGCATCTTCAACTATTGAAATGGGGTTCTTCATTGCATTATTTAAAATACCACAGCCAATATCATCAAACACCTGTAACTTAACTTTATTGTGCAGGTTTTCACCCTTTATGTGAATGGTGATCTTACCTTATGATTTTAACTGTAGGTTACTGAAGAATACAGGCTTGTACCTGAGACACTATTTTTGACAGTGAATTACATTGATCGTTATCTTTCTGGCAATTCAATTAACAGACAACAGTTGCAGTTGCTTGGAGTTGCCTGCATGATGATTGCTTCGTAAGATTTCATGTTTCTTTCTGCCTTGGCAGTTGTAATTTAATGTTCTGTGCAAGGTTATGTGCTTTGCATCCTGTGCATGCTTATTTAAATGTAGCCTAGTTAGAAGAGTGGATTATTACTGAAAATGTTATTTTGATGCAAGTAAATACGAGGAGATATGTGCACCTCAAGTGGAGGAGTTCTGTTATGTTACTGATAACACATACTGCAAGGATGAGGTCAGATTCCATTTAGAGATTCATTTCCAATTTTCTTTATTCACCACAACCTACATAAACATATTTTTCTCTGCTTTGACTGCTGCAGATTTTGGAAATGGAATCTGCTGTGCTGAATTACTTGAAGTTCGAAATGACGGTCCCAACCGCTAGATTTTTTCTTAGGTAATGCCTCGCTTTCTTATTCCATACATTGTGCAGTTTATAAAAGTTGCCAGATATTGACATGATCCATGAAAAATGCTCAGGCAATTTGTTCATGCTGCTCAAATGATCAATCAGGTATCTCTCTCATGGACTAGCGTTTTTACGTTCATTTTTATGTTATTGATCCATTAACTAGGTTTAGTTTACATTATATTTGCATGTAAACTTGTACTAGTAGATATTTGAATCTTAAGTACTCTAGTCTTCAAAGCTGATATGGTTGATTTTTTTATTTGTTCTCTAGTTAAAAGATATAACATGATAGGTGAATCATTCCAGTGGTTCGAGCTATCATGCTTTGTTGGCAATCTATGTTTACCAATAACGATAACGGTAATGTACGCCTGTATTCTGTAGGTTCAATCAATGCAGTTTGAATGTTTGGCCAGCTACATTGCAGAGTTATCACTTCTTGAGTATACCATGCTTCATTATGCTCCATCGCAGATAGCTGCTTCTGCTGCTTTCTTGGCCAAATTTATACTCTCTCCTTCAAAGAAACCTTGGGTATGTCCCAAAGAAAGTTCATTTGTTTTATACTAAGTACTAACTTTTTCAGATATATTTTTTCTTAATCTGATTCTTATTAATTTTGTCTACTTCTGCATAGCTTCTATTAAGATAATAGGTGTCTACTTTTTTCATCCTGTTGCACAGGATTCTATATTGGGCCACTACACACTATACCGGCCCTCTGATTTGGGAGACTGTGTTAAGGCACTGCATCATCTCTGCCGTAATGGTGGTTGTGCTAATTTGCCTGCTATCAGAGAGAAGTATAGTCAGCATAAGGTGAGTAGGTTCTCCATCTTTCTCGGGCAATATGTTTACTACAATGCTACGGTTGGCCTAAGTTTTCAACAAAGTGAGAATCCAACAATATGGTCCTCTAAATATGCACTTGGTACATGGACTGAAATTTTTCCTGTACTTGAATTGATAAGTTCTCCTTCATGAAAGGGAAAAAAAAGAGTAGGGTAAATAACAGATTTTGTAACTTGTTGAGATATAGATTGTTTAGTTTTATGTTAAACCTGATATTCGTTATTTTAAGAATGTTCGACATGTCTGACATTTTCTCCTCTGCATCAGTACAAATTTGTGGCAAAGAAGTACTGCCCTGCATCAATACCTCAGGAGTTTTTCCAAGATCTGAGCAAGTAGTAGCTCAATGGATACCAGCCCGGTATTCAGTTTGTCTTCCAAAACTCTACTGGATGTAGTTAGTTGTAATTGTTGATTTTGTAGCCTTCATTTCCTTCACATTTTTGGGAAAAGCAACATTGATTCTACTGACTTAATGAAGACTTTGAATTGTATATTGCCTAAATACGTACTTAAAAACATTTTCCTTCAGGAATTATTGTCAACTGCATCAAGTTTAAGCTGCTCATTGAGATCTATGAATTAAACTTGAAGGGTTTTTATTGATTTGTTAATAAATAAGGATTTATTGACATAAACTTTTGTTTTTGTTGGATTTGTCAAGAAAAGCTTGAAAGGGATGACTGGTCAATTTTAAAATCTAGGTTGCTTTTGAAAATTTTTTGAAAACTACTACAATTTCATTTAAGAACGTGATGGGATTGTTCTTTTATCACACTGAAAGTTTAATCATAAAATGAAGGTTTCAGCGCGGTGAGATGACTTTCACCGTCCTTCCAAATACAGCCTGCTGCTAATATAAACCTCATGGAAAATTGTTTGTTATCATAAGAAGTTAAATTTATTTGTTATTTCTGCCCATTTGAAACCAAATTTGTTGTGCGAGTTCTCATCCCATGACTATTCTATGCTATAGCTGCCATCTATTAGACCCAAACAACGAAAAAAAAACACATTCAATATATAAATGTAAAAAAAAGGAAAAAGCAGGGGCAAGAGGAAAATGGCGCCAGTATTGCAGAGCTTACAACCTTGGGTTGAAAAATAGTACTATCTATCAATCTCTCATTCTTTCCATAATTTCTTTCCTTTTTTTTTTTGCTTAATTTTTGAAAAAAATAATCTATATTTTTTATTTGGTAATATCTTTGTTTCTTCTGTCGGCCAAAACAAGAGAAAGATGTGGCACACCAAGACGAGGTAGTTCGAGCTCTCATCAACACCCTCGAGACGAGACTGCCAATGTAATTATATCTTCTTCCCTTTCAGCATTTCCTTTTGGTTTTTCTGATAATCATTTTTTTATTATCTTGAAAACCTTAATTCAACACTTTTTTTTTTTTTTAGTGCCCGCATATGCTCTTCTACGGCCCACCTGGCACTGGCAAAACCACTACGCACTCGCCATCGCCCATCAACTCTTTGGGTATTTCTTTTTTTCTTCTTTTTCAAAAGTTGTTGTTTTATGGAAGTGATGCTTTGGCCTAATGCCTTCATTTTAGAATACGTTTTGTAGGAATTTAGAATTTGGTTGCGACACTCTCAATTAAAAGTGTACCCAAGTGAATATTTAACCCTTTTGGTGAACTTTTAAGCTTCTGTTATTAGTGTAATGCTTCTCTACTTGTTCTGCTGAATTTATTTATTCTGTCTTTTTTACAATTTAATACTTAATAGTTGTAGGTAATAGAGTCTATGATGTTCTTTTGATTTCTTTTTACACTTATAATGGGATTTTACTTCAGTTTGTTTTGAATTCGACTGCAACCCAATTTTTGCAGACCTTAGCTCCACAAATCTAGGGTGTTGGAGCTAAATGCAAGTGATGACCGTGGGATCACCGTTGTTCATACAAAGATAAAAGATTTGCTGCTGTTGCTGTAGGATCTGGTCAGCGTTGGGGGTATGCTCTTGTATTTTCTGATAAATAACATTTCCAATGAGGTTTACAGTTGTTCCTTTTTTTTCCTTTGTGTCTTTCTAGGGGTTATCCTTGTCCACTGTTCCAGATCATTGTTCTTGATGAACAGATTCAATTACAGAAGATGCTCAGGCATTTTTTAGTTTTTGTAGCCATCGTGGTATTTTTCAATTTGTATTGGCACGTGTTATTTTCATTTCACTGAACCGTGACTCTGCAGAATGCTTTGAGACATACCATGGAGACTGACTCAAAAGTTGCATGATTCTTTTTCATTTTTAACTACACAAGCAGGTATATTTTCTTCTTTTATTTTTCCTCAAGTTTCTTTTTTCCTTTCTAACCATGGTTTTAATTTTGTAAAACTTTTAGCACTTTAATGCTACAACTTACTTGTAAATCACAATAATAATTAGATAATTGGAGGGCAATTCTTAAACATTATGTTATTGAATTTTCATATGATGATAGAGCCACTTGCTTCAAGGTGTGCAAAGATTCAAGCCACTTTCTGAAGAAATCGTGAGCAGTCGTATAATGCACATTTGTGGTCAAGAAGGCTTGAGTTTAGATTCAGAGGTGTGAACCTGGTGTCTTAAAGCTTGTTGTAATAGTGATTGTTTCTTAAATGGCATTGTTACTAAATATTTGATGTTTCCCTGTAGACTCTTTCAACATTAAGCTCCATTTCACAAGTTGATCTTTGTCGGGCTATTATGTACCTCCAGGCAAGCTGCAGATTGCAATACATTCCCAGTATTTATGATTTTTTTTTCATAAATACAACTAGTATTTATGAAATTATGAAGTTCTAATTCTCTATTATGCTATTGTAAAATGGTTTTGTTTTTTACAATTTGGTTGCATACTCATGGCAACTTAAACAATTTTCTCTTCTGCTTGCTGCAGTAGCCTAGTATATTGGGCCTTTGTTTGTTTTGCTACCATGTAAATGATACTTTCCCCATGAAGGGGTCTACCCTCAATTCCTACCATGTAGCTGTAATTGTTTGGATCAAAATAATGGTTTCTAACTGCATTCCGGCATCACTAGAAATAATGGTTTTCTTGTGCGCCATTCCTACCATGACATGCTCCATTTATATATTTTATTGGTCATGCTGCTCAACTGGCCAGATCTCTCATCCTTCTGCAGATGCTGAATGTTGTGTTATGGAATATTGCAGGGAGCTGCTTACTTGTTTGGATCATCAATTTCTTCCAAGGACCTAATTAGTGTGTCCGGGGTAAGTAATATGATACATTGATGCTTAAGTTTCTCATTGCTTAGTAAGTTTACAAATTTACATTGGCTGATATTAGCGTTTCTCTATATTTATTTTTGAACCAATCATCTTTTACCCTAGATAGTCTATGAAAAACTGCTTGTAGAACAAAGGAGTCTTGATTCTTAACGTGGATGATTAGCTGCTGCAAAAATAAGCAAGGGAAATTTACTCTCAAATAGGGCTCCTTTTATATTTAGACTGATGAGAAGATGTTTAGACTTCAGATTGAATTCAAAATCAAACTTCTGTACTTTGTGTTTCTCTTTGTTGGCTACCTATATGGATGAAACAACAAAGCAAGTTGTCATATAATAGGACTTTTTCTTTCTGTCTTCTTTTTTTTTTTTTTTTTTTTTGAAGATCTCAAACTGAAAATTTTACAATTAGGCACCTGTTTCTTCTTTCTGTTTTTGTTCTATTTAATTGACCTTGGCATGCCTTGACACTTAAAATTTCTACATATCAGGTTATCCCTCAAGAAGTTGTTGAGGTACTTTTTTTTGCATGCAAAAGCGGTAACTTTGATTTGGCAAACCAGGAAGTCAATAATGTAACTGCAGATGGGTATCCTGTTTGTCAGATGCTTTCTGAGGTACAGTTTCTTTATTTTCATCCATGATTAGTCACCATTATTAATTGCTAGATATATCTGATACTAAAATAATGCTTCTTCCAGGTATTTGATGTGGTTGCTGAGGCAGATAACATACCAGATGAACAGAAAGCTAGAATTTTCAGGAGATTGGCTGAAGCAGACAAGGTTACTTTCACCTCATAAACTTACTACTGTTGGTTGTCTACTGCTAATTTTTTAGTTTGGTAGTTATAGACATTGAGGTGAGATTTACTAAATTGCTTCATGGTTTTCAATAAAAAAATAATACCTATTGTGTGAAAGCTAGTATTTGTTGGTTGGTTAATATAGCCCAGCAATGAAAGCTAAGAAATATTAGGCTGATTGGGTCCTTTTAAAATTTGTCTGGACTTGTATAACTCTTCTATCTTTTTAGTAATCCTATTGAGCTCTACCTTTCTTTGTATTAAACTGATTGAAATTGGCTTACTAGTCATGACTAACAGCAAATTAACTGAGGGTACTAATTTTTTTCTTCCGTTACCCATTCTTCTCCCTTGAAGCTATCATACTCCACAGTTTCTTTGCATCAACCAAGAATTATTAACTTCTTTTTTTTTTGTTGTTGTTGTTGTATAAAGGAAAATTCACTTATATGTGTTGGTTTGTTGGTGTAATTCTTCTATTTGCTCATTGGCCTGCAGCATTTAGTTGATGGTGCAGACGAGTACTTGCAGCTGCTGGATGTGGCCAGCAACACATTGCGAGCTTCGTGTAACATGCCACATGAATTCTCTTTTGAAAGTTAGCGGGACAACCTAGAGTGGGATGCAGGTGCTTTTGAGGACAAGGAGAGATTTAACTTTTGAATTGTAAAATAGTTAATATTGCAATAAAAACAGCTTTTCAAACTTTGTATTACGTCTGCTATTCACAGAAGATGGCCCCATCCTTTTGAATCTCATGTCACTTAAAGATGAGTTCTTGGCACTCCTGAAAACAGCAATGCTTGTTTGATATAGTGAAAAAATCATGAATGGGGACGAAATAAATTTTCTTTTATAATTTGTTGCTATCATAATGGTAAGACCGAAAGTAATGAGATTGTTTTCCATTTGAACCATTGAAGTTACTTTTACTTTTGATGAAGGCAAAAACAGGGGAGGAATAGTCAATCCTGCCGTTGGCAACATGACTGTAACAGATATTCATAGCATATCATGACAAGTACTTGCATTTGAATGGAGCACGATATATCAGTGAAGCTCGTGTGATCATGTCTGGTGGAGCCCAAAATTTCAAATCTCCACAGCTCATAAACACTAGCTGTCTTGGCTGTAGCAGTTATAAGTTTTGGGTTTTTACATTTTTTCTACCATTATAATTTGCCAATTCAAAAAAAACCCAGATCCTTAAGTGATAGTATTGGATCCCATATACCAAATCAAAGGAAAGTCCCTCCTCTGAAGAGTCTAGCTCAAGTATCGACAGAGTTTTTAATCTTCTCATTCACTTTCTCCTGTTTTTGTGATTGAAACTAGCTTGATCTATACTTGAACCGGTAATTCAAATTATGACAAAAAATAAAAATATATATACAGTTTAAAATTTAAAAAAATAAAAAATATATTTCATATTATAATAATAATAAATTTTTATATAAAATAAGATACAAATACAAAAATTACTAATATTTTATGTAATATAAATACATAAACGGCTACATCTAATTGGCCTATAATAACCCTTGAAGTCAAACTGAAATGCGTGCATGTACCCAACATCTACATCTACCCCATCACCAGCCCCACCTTCATGCCTTTAATCCCGCGGAGACTGAACTTTCCATCATCCCTTGTTGCCACCACAACTATATATTAAGGACCTGGACTCGTTCCAGATAATGAAAGTTTGTTTTGTCAGTTGCTTTAATTTACTTTTTAGCTCTACTTTGCAAGTTATTTTCAGTTAAAAAATGGCAGTAGATGATTCATTCAAAAAACCTGGAGTTGTTCCTTTTAAGTGGGAGATCCGACCTGGTGTTCCCAAGGTCCAACAACAGCCAAAACAACAGGAACAATTACCACTGAAACAGAAAAAGCAACAACCTCCACCATTGCCACCACCAGCATCAACTTTCATAAACCAACGTTCATTGCCAACTCCACCAGGGCCTCCTCATCAACAAAAGCTTAAACCCCCACCAGCTGGATCTTACTTGCTCCTAACTCCAGACCCGCGAGGTCACTCTTTTAGTTCGACCCCATGTGCCCGCTCCGAACGTTGGCTGTTTGATCAACCCGCCCGGCTCCGACCACAATGTGTTTCACCCGGGTGTTTCCCATCACCATTGCTTAGGCGAAAAAGAAGCAAGAGGAGGACCCAAAAACCCGAACCTGACTATGTTTTGGACCTTGGGACGCTGTCGCGATGGTCGGTGTCAAGCCGAAGGTCACTTTCGCCGTACTATGGCTCGCCAGCGTCATCCTTGTCATCTTTTAGGTCATCACCCCGACCGGTGGCTGATGCCGAATGGGCCGGATTTAGACTTTTTTGAAAAACGAAACAGTTAGTTTAGCCCTTTTTGGAGGCTCTTTTTTCAGGGTAATCAAATTAATCATGTCTTTTATACGACAGGTTTGCAATGATCTTGTTGAATTTGGTTATTCTATAGCCAAAGTTGTACGTATGTTCTAAGGGTTTGTTGCCATTTCTTCCCATCACAAGCCCAATGAAAAATGAAAGGATTTCAAGTTTTTTATTTTTGATAAAAATATATCATAATTTGAAAGTAAAAAAATAATTATAAATATTAAATTTAAAATTTAAATTATTATATAATTTTTAAAAATATTATATTAATCAATTAAATTAAATTTTAAATTTAAAAAAAAAAAGTGAGTTTTTAGTTTTTAATTTTTTTTTCTCAAGTAAAAAATATACGAGCAAAGTTAAATTCCTTTATCAAGACTTAGAAAAATGAAAAGGAAATTCTAGCGACAGTCACATCTACGTTCGCTTTTCAACACTCAGGTTCTTAAAGAACCACGTCTCCTTATATTTTATGCTTAAAACTACTTGCCAATTCTTTCTGTTAGCTTCACACTTTTTTATCCGTTGACGTTTGATCTTGTTGTAGCTTGCAGTTTGCTTTTCTCATGAATTTTTAATAAAATTTAAAATACATCCTAAACCATAAAATTCAAAGTACACTCTTTTTTTTTATATAAAACATAAAATAAAAAGTGTAAATGGTTTTTTTTAATGAAACAATATTTTAATAATATAGTTTTTATCTTGTTTTATTACTAAAAATGAGAGTTTTTTTAATATTTTATCTAGTCTACATAATGATAAATTTTATCTCTTATTTAAAAAAATTACCTCAATTTTTTAAAATGTATAGCATTCCTATTGCAATTTTGCGTTCCTCCATCGCTAATCTTGTTTTACCCCACTGATATTTTTGGCAAATGGATTGGCAAACTGGGCTCAAGGGGAAAAAGGAAAATTATAACAAGAAATGGCAGATGATGTCTAAAGTTTCAAGATCAGCTCTCAACCTTTGACTCCAAGAGAGTTGGGCCATTATGGAAGGACCAGATGTTCAATCTGCTGTATAGTTAAAAACAAAAGCCTCATGTTCTGTTGTATGTTTAGAAAAAGTAGAAAGAAACAAGAAGATAGGTTACAGTTTGAGTAATTTCTGGGGATACAAGAAAACCTTTTTCGGAAGAGGGAGTTTTGGAAGAAATGGGGGAGAGTTGCATTACTCGTCGATTCCAAATTTTTAATTTCTCGATTTGTAGTTTTTCCTAGTTCATACCTAAGTCAGAGAAGACATAAAAAAAGATTAAAAATCAGTAACCTCTTCCTAAAACTTGTCCGTCTCAATTTTTAAAGATCCCTTGATCTTTTAAAATCATTAGATATATATATATATATATATAATAATGATACTAATAATAAAGAATTACACCGTATAAAATTGATAGCTCATTTAAAAATTAATGAGAGTTGACTTGGCCCTTAGGAGCCCGACTGATGAGTGTGGAAAAACTGGTGTAAATGCTACTGCGGCTAACGTTTTACAAATGAAAATAAAATGAATCAAAATTCAATTAAATTAATTTATATAATTATTTTTTAAAAATAACATCTAATTAATTTTAAATTTTAAATTTTAAATTCAATATTTATATATATTTTTTTATTTTTGTATCCTGATCTCCTGTGTAAAAAAAATAAAAATAGAATTTAGTTATAAAATTTAAATTTAATACCAACATATGTTTATTGTCAATCTTGCCCGTCAAAATATTCCTCCTAAAACTTCAAAAATCAAAATAACAATGCAGTGGCCGTTGGCGTCCTTGTCACCATATGGGTGGCGGCGGATGTGGCGGTGCTGATGGCTAAAATGGATTTTGATTACTAGTCAACCGATATTTCTCAGTCACTAAGAGAAAACAGACAAATTAGAATCCATTCTCTTGGGATATTCTAAAATTTAAATAATTTATCATACAAAATTAATTTTGGGTAATTAATCTAAAATTTTTATAATTAAATCCCAATGCTACCTTAATTGTATGACGATGCTGTTAAAAGCCCTAAAAATTGCTTCAAGTAACTTCGATACATAGAAGCTGCAAGATGCTCACACTATTTGTCCAGGCAACCCGTTCTCTTGAAAGTGCAGAAACTGAGAAACGACGCCAATGGAGTTCAGCCATAAAATCCAAATTTACAGTCCATTCTTCCATTTCAACCTAGACCAGAGCCAGTCTCAGATACTGACCTCATCAATGGATGATTAAGAGTAGGTTGTGTATTCCCTGGGGAGTTGAACATGACATTAGGAGGACCTGAAGTGGATGCCTGCATGGCCGTAAGGGGTAACCTTGGGCCCATTGGAAACATTGGTTGGCGTGGCATGAATGGCATATGGGGATGTACTGGTTGGCTGCTGCCATATCCAGAAATACTTGGCTGTGAAGTTGAGGCTGACACTACCTGTTGTCTGTTGTTGCCAATGTTATTGTTAACCATGGGGGAAGCAGCACCAGGTAGACTCATTTGTGAAGCGACTCCGGCAGGTCCGAATCGAGCTGATACAATGCGGGCCCTCTCGTCAGCAAACCTTTGCCTTGCTTTCTCTACTTGTTCACATTCTTTCATGAGTAAAGTTTCCACTTCTGCAAACTGCTTCAGCTTCAGCTCCAACCTCTTCAACTGAGATACAGATTGAAAACAAGTTTTATCTACAATACAAATCAAAGGTAAGACAAAATAGAATGTTTAGGAGGTCCCAAGAGTATGAATTTTCAATGGAAGCTCCGAACATCTAATCATTGCGTTTTCCTACATCCACCAAAATCACAGAATCTAAAAATAATGATAAAAGCTAACTTATTGGGGATGCTAAATGGGCACCAGCATCTCTATATAGGGCTTTGATTCTCTTTGGTAGCCTCTGGTTTCAGAAAGCATGTAATAACAAAAAACATAATATTCAATCTCCCAGCCAGGCACACCTAGTTTATCCATGGGTGTAACAGATATGTGAATCAAGAGCTAAAGAAACATGTAAACTTCAACTTAGAAGCTGCATCCATAGACAATTTGCAGGTCAAGCAGCAGAACCACATACACAGCTATAGAACTTTTCATTGAATCTTTCAAGTTTAAGATATATCTAAGTTTATTCTATTAAAAGAAAGGCATGCACCTTTGGCTTTTCTTTTGTTCCATATTTTAGGCTAAATAACGTCATGTAGTTAAATACAACATGACAAGTCATCTTTGGTACTGGTTTCAAGTCTTTAAAGGAGGGTCAACTCTCTTTTCAGTCAACAATTGTTCAGCATATGGCCAGGAATATATGGCTGAAAAAGCAGATGCATATGAAGAAGACAAAGTATACCTGATGGTTTACGATATTAGCTGATAGCCTTTGAATTTCTCGTTCCTCATGATCAGCAAATAGTTTCGCCTTCATCGCTGCAGCTGCAAGGCCAGCTTCGGCAGCAGCTTTAACTTTTTCTGCAGAGAGCGGATGAGCCTCTGCCTCGTTTTGACCAAATGAACCATGTATTGTCGAGTTCTCTGAAGTTTTTACACAAAAATAATTCAACATACATAAAACTAATATGGTACAGAAAAAGAATGAAAATATAGTGAAAGTAACGAAAGTTAAACTTATGGCCTACCTTTTTTATGAATAGAACCATGAAAACCACCTTCTCTACTATGTACACTCTCTGTATTCATCCTTCACAGTTCAAAACAGATCTTAATTAGTAAATTAACATGCGAAATTTTGGTCAAAAAGCTTAAAGGTGGTCCAATCCCGTCAAAGCAATGAAATCCTCAATATTTAATTTATATAGTCTTCATGAGTTGGATAGCAGCCATGATACACCAATAAAAGTGACACTAAAGAAGAACCTCATCGTAATAGCATTGAAGGTTTTAGAATCACGAGGATATGCACTAACCTATTAACATGCCCTGAACCTTCCTTATGTACATCTTCAGACAAAGCAGCCAAGGATGCATGGGCACAAGCTGCAGCAACCCTTGGTCCAACAGCAGAGGCCAGAAAAGCAACCTAGAATATTTTCCACTAGTTAGACCCATGTATGAAAAAGCTAGCAATACAATTAGATCAATCTTTGTTTAAAGTTTCATCACGATCTCTTGCGGCAAAGTTCTCTTGCATAGAAACCATTAATGATGAAATGAAATTCTCCAAAATACAAGGTGCCTAATTTGGAAATTTTGTTAAGAGAGCAATTCAACCCTCATCAGCTTCTTTCATATTTTTTCTTTGATCTTTTTACAACTTTTCTCATCCCAGCTACCTGTTACAGAAAGGAAATAATATTTACAAGAGACTTTGGTATGACACCAAAAAATTGTGCCTCGATACTAATCATAATTCCACTATGTGACTGAGCAAAAAGACAAAAAAACAATTCCAATATTAGCAGCATTTCCATCTTCCCTATTTCTCTTGTGCCAAAAGATGGTTACACAGGATACCAGCAGAATAAATGAAAGTAACATAACTTAATGAACTTTAATTTGAGGCCATTATTAGAGAAATAAATAACTGATTCTATGCTCACTCTCCACAGTACTATATTCATAATTATAAAACTCAAGTTTGTAATAAAAGATTGAAAGAGTAAGTAGGTGCTGCCTGAACAAACTAGTCACATACCATAGCCATAACTGGATTCCCAGAATTTGCAAAAGGAAGCCTGCTTTCAGAATCTGCATCACGAAGGCTGGGCCCTAAAAAGCATGCAAAAAATCAGAAAAAAATTTACAGATATAAGGTCCTCATTTCCATGAAGGGATAAAGACCCTAAGTAAATAATAAACCTGGTAGACTCCCATTCATACTTGACTGCAATCTTCCTCGGCCATCTCCATTTGAAACAATTATTGATTTGGGCGTGCTTGGAACTTCAATATTTTCCAATAGGCCATCCTCCATGGGTAGACGTAGAAAATGAAGTATGCATTGTGCTTTTGACTTAGCACCAACATGCTCAGCTATTTCATTCCAGTTCTCGCCATAAATTTCCATTGCCTCAAGCAGCAGTAGTGTTTCCTGATCACTCCAACTTTCTCCATCTAGGTCGCCATAATCTTTTGTTGAATCTATCCTAACAAAATCTATGCTTGAATGACCAGAAACAAATCTCCCATCATGGAAGCAATCAGAGCAAAGTAGCGTATCAACCTGTCATTTAGCCAATAATAGAAACAACTGAGCATAATCAACATCAAGATTTAGGTAAACCGACATCTTGAAAGACAAAGTTTATGAATTCCCTCAGCTCTTTGTGTTCACATGCAACCTTACCATTTCAGACTCAAGCACAAGCTATTTAAACTTAGCTCCAACACAATGTAGTTATCAAAATTTAGCCATTTTACACTGGAATCAAACCAGTGTTCAGCTCATGCTTCACTTTTCTAAATGCTTTTAAGCAAGTAATTATGTTGAGATCTTTTCTAACTAATTTACATGTCCTTTATATGCCTTATAGCCACCATCAGTTATTACATCCAAAATGCACCCCAAAGTAACCTAAACTACTCACTGAAAGAGTTAATAGATGCTCAGAAACCAAATTAAGTCAAGCCAAGCACTATCTAACTCAGCTTTCTAAACCAGTAAACCACATCCTATGGAGAACTAGAATTAGTTACTAGAAACAAGTGCTTACTTTAGCAAGAAACTTTCTTGTCTACAAATGAGGATAGAAATCTATTGTTGTTCATTTCTTGACCGCCAAAACCAAATATAGAAGTACCTAGGACCCTCACAGCACATAAGAAATATAGACTTTCAGCGACTTTCATTTCATATAGATTAAAGCAACAGTAGTATATATTTATCAGATAGGAGTATAGGACAACATTTTGGAAATGTTAAGTACAGCAGGTCCTAGTGTTCCTAACGTTATGGAACCGCACTAGAGATGTAATCACTAAGTTAGTTATTTAAATATACATATATATAGCAATCTGCTATAGAAAAATTCCCCAAAACTTAAGTATTAAAATTAGCCAATTTACATTGTTGATGTTATTCTCACATACTACTGATTTTAAAAAAGTATATATTGCCAGATGAGTGATCAAGATGACGACAGCATTTGAGCCCCAACCTCAAAGGTGGTGTCAGCTAAGCAGTGAACATGATGATATAATGAGCATATTTAACAATGGAAAGAAGGATTAAGACTTAGAATGAAAGATATAAAGATTGACAGGGGCATAAAAGTCACATACCTCCTTTTGTGACTGATAATATGAACTAGGAATAGCCTGAGAACAGGAACTGCAATAGTTTTCAGATAAGCGCTCTAGTATTCTGTTCTCCAAGTCAGAGAAATTATTATCATGACATGACAATGATGAATAAACGTCAGCTGCCTTAAGCCTACATTTTGGCCTGTCAAATTTGATCAAACTATCAATAGACTTTAAAGCAGCTGATGGCACATGAACTTCACCATTTGGATCCTCCCTTAAGTAGGATCCACCATTCCATGGCTCATGACTTGACACAGCTGCACAATAATTGATAATTCCCCAGTGATCAAGAAACCGAACAATTCGAGTTAAATCCTCATTACTGATACCATCTATCAACCCCTGGCAATCAGAAACGGTAATTCTCTTCTCTGGATTATCCATGTATTTGACAACAATGTGGTTTCTACATTCCATATATTTTTCTGGTGTATGTTCTGGTGATTTCCCAGAGAAAAATTGTGGCACAACTTGTCTTTCTAGTCGATGCACTGTGGCTGGTGAAAACCACTCTGCTCGCAAGGGAATCCCACAAACACAACCAAACATTAATACACGACTTAGAAGATAAATTAGTGCAGAAATAGAAGAGGACGCAAGATAAGCTCAGAGCTTAACAAAAAGAAATGCGTGGTAATATCGTTTTTGTACACTTTAAGCAACAAACATAACATGAAACTCATATCATGTAAACAGAACCAACCCAAGTGTAAATTGCTGAACTTTTGTTTTAGTTTAGATTCCATATCTCGTCTGAACTAAATCAAGATTCAAGATCTTTCTTAGATTCCAATCAAACCAAGGTTTACCCTATGTACTTATCAAGTCACATAAAATTCAATATAAAGTTCCGCAGTCAAATACATAAAGGAACTTAAATATATACTTCCCCAAAAGATTTTTCCAACAGCAAATCTTAATATACAGGCTGACAAAGAAAGAACATTGAATATCACCAAATATCAAAAGGTAAGTTCATCACCAAATATCAAAGGCTAAGTTCACTAAGAGCATTCAAAGAAAGTCAAACTCTTCAACCTTCTTATCTTAATACAACTTAGTCAATTAACACAAATAAGCTCAATCTAGTTATATCATTCATTTATCAGAAATTTGTGGAAATTAAACCTTGTTGTCCTTCAAAATTTAGAGTTATTTTCAGATTATTCTTTCGGTACGCCCTAGTCAGACTCAAAACTGAAAGCAGGCAAAATTTTAAAGCATAGAGATATTAGAAAGAGAGCGACACCGAACCTGAATGCATTGGCAGGACATGAACCCTACTCCCAAACCTCTTAACAACACCACGCCCCTCTATTATAGGAGGAGGGGTAATCACGTACTTCTCCGGATCAACAACAGGAGCTTCCGCTGAAACCGCCTGTAACTGCCCGTGCGAAACATTCTCCAAAACCGCCAGCGCCGCCTCCTGGTGCCTCTTGCTATCCCCAATCAAACCCGCCCGTTCAGCCGCCACGATCGCCATTACGGAACTGTGAGGACGGTTCACCGTTCGCTTCACCACGGCGGGGAACTCCGAGATGCGAACTCCACCGTCGGCCAGGACCTCACTCTCGCTGGGCCCCGCTAAGGACGGATCCGTAACGAACACGCCGGCATCATCCCCGGAGTTCTCGTGGTGGTTATCGAGGTCCTCGTTGTTGTTTTCTTCTTCTTCGTCTTCCTCCGGAACGACGTCGTTTTCTTCCTGGTGGTGTTTCGCTCTCTGTTCTCGCTTCCGCCGCTTCCATCGACCCCGACCATCTGTTGAAAAAATTTTAATTAAATTTAATTATAGAAAAATGAAACAGGTAATTTGGTAAATTTAATAGAATTATTATTGGAGAGGGAAAATGAAAAAAGGGGGTGGAGAGATTGCCTGTAGGAGAAGCTGGCATTGGTGTTTGATTTTTGAAAGGTGAATTTAGAGAGAGAGTGAAATGCGGAGAAATTGTGGGGTCGAATTGTCGGAAAGGAAGAGAAGGGAAGTTGAAGGCGAAGAAGAGTTAGGGAGAGAGAAAGAGGGCTTCGAGCAATTTGAGCGCCCTTCGTTTGGGTTTTGGTGAAACGGCTGTTATTGTAGCTGATTCTGTATTTCTACCCCGCTTCCCCACTAAAAAAATCATTGTTACGGGATTAACCTTTAGTTTTTATCCATTTTAAATATAAAAATAAATAAATAAAACTCATTAAATCAAAGAAAAATAATCCACTAGCTTATAATAATTTTTATATTTCTCGAACTTTTGAATCAAAATTATTAAATTTAAACATATTACTTTAATTTAAATAATTCATAAATTTAATTTTGATTTAAAAATAAATAAATATATAAATTAAACTAATTTAAGTAGATTTTTACTCTAAATCAAATTTTTAAAATTTTTAATTAAAAATCATTAAATCAAAATCGATATATTAATAAATATTAATGTATAGATAAAAATACGTGAATCATTAATTAAAAATTACATTTATACATAAAAAATTTGACATTAAATGATGAAAATAATTTCATATTTCATAATATTGAAATATGTTCAAATTATTTGAAATTTTTTATACTTGATTTATCCTTTCATTTTTTATTTTAATTTTTATTTAATTATTGTTAATGGAGACTTTTATCGACAAATCCTACATTGAACTTTACCAAAGTCTTATCTTAAATCTTTGCCATTTCAAGACCTTTTAAAAGAAAAAAAAATTTTGGCGAATTCAACCAAAACAGTTCTAATTCAACCTACTTAGAGGTATTTTATAAGCAAAACATAAAATGAGGAAAAATAAAGAATTCGATAACAATGGTTTTTTAATTGAAAATTGTATGCAGTTACATTATCATGATTTATCTTTAATTTTCATAAAATTTTTATTAACATGGGTTACTTACAGAAGTTGGTTCTTCAAAGTTTTCATTACAGTCAGGTGGAATCACTTGAAAAAAAAAATATATATATATATATATATATATATATAAGGTTATTAATATTTAACATCTTTGATCTTGTCATGTGCAGTGTGCATCGATTAACAAAGTTTTAGGGATGCCCGGACATGGGTCACCATCAAAACGTTGATCCGAGAGGAAGATGGAACATTTCTTCTTTCCCAGACAAACCTACAAAAGTTATTAAAGCTATAATAAAATATCCCTATGAGAGAAAACATTAAAAAAATAATAATAAAAAGAAAAATCACCTTTTCAACAATGCCTCTGGAATTAGATAGATGACAGTTTCCAATGGTATAGTTGTCGCAATCACCGGACGGGGTTCCAAAGCTTGCAAACTGTATCCTGGAAATATTTCTGTTTGCAGGACAATAGAGCTGAACCCTAGGTTTTCCGGCATGATCCTTGTTATAGTTCACTCCACTGATCTGACCTTGAGCCACTGGGGACAAATGCGACTCAGAGACATGTCCACATATTTTTGTAATTGAGACACTGTCCAATGAAATCCTGAGAGGGTCCCCATATTCTTCTTCCAGTAGAACTAACAAGTTTCCTGTAGGTTTCAGGAAGGATCGAGGTACGTTGTACCATGTTTGTGAAGGCCTGTGTTCCGGTGTGTGAATTGAGACCCAATATCGGCCAATGCTTTGGCCGTTAACCCAAACTTCACCCTTTCCCATGGAACCAAGGTTCAGTGCTAGTGGATCATTTCCTGCAGATGCATCAAATAGAGTCTGCCAAACGAAAGTGAAAATGAAAATCCCATTGACGACTAACATATTTACTGGCATATATAATAATAACTTTCTTACCTTGTACCATGTTAAGCGATGATGTTTGTCTTGAAACCTACTCCATTGAACTTTATCCGATCCATGTTTGGTAAATATTCTCAAATTTTCTCCTGACAACCCAACCTAAATGAAAAAATTTCAACATCATCACTCCATCACCACAATTTACACAATTTCTTTGCTATTAAAGTCTGTGTTTAAATCTTTATAAAATAATAAACAGATGTAGCATGAAAGTCTGGCGTAGAGAAAAGTAATCACCTGATATCCCCATAGATAGTTATTGAGATATTTGTTCTGAATCCTCACACTCCGTATACCTGCAGTCTTACTCTCAAGGTACGCTCCTGAATCCTATACATGACAATTGAGACGATTCGCTACATCACGATGTAGGTGGTAGATCACACAAAGCTAAAACTTTTAGTTACTAGAGAGAAGTGAAATGGCAAGCAAAGGCCACATGAATATTTACGCCATGTTCTGCTATCTGTTTCCTACATCCATCAATGATGCACCAATACTACTGAAAAAACGGTAGTTTAGCCGTTCTTAAGACATGGTATCTAACAGTTTTAAAATTCAATTTTCAGCATCTGCAAATTTTTCCCAGACTGCAATATCCTTTGTAAAATAAAATAAATACAAAAGGAGATAGAATTGGGATTTAAATGACCGGAAATCCAATCATAACGCTAAGTAAGGCGATATTATTTGTTCCATTTTTCAAGTTAACTGTATTCTCCAGGACGAAGTTCCTTTTGCCACCGCATGCGTATCCTAAAGAACAAAAAAATGAACAGACATGTAAGCAATGAGCAAATTGGAGAAGATGAATAGAAACAAATAGCATATGTGCGATTGGTTTGTTGCTGCTCTTCCTGATATGACAATTCTGAAATATTGATAACTTGGTACACTGAAATGATTTATCCTTCCGAAAATTTCCTTAAAGGAAATCTATCATTTACATATTTCCTGGTTTACGTGTCAAAATCTTCAGGTAATAGTATTATGTTACAGAAATCATTTGATCAGATTGGTGATTGAATTAATCAACCACAAGATGAATGAAATCACCTGTGTATGCTCCATTGACAAAGGCATGTAACACATGTGCATCAGATAGCACAGAAAGTTCAGCTTGAGCATCAAAGTCATGCTGAAAGCTGCATTTTCGTCATAAAAGTCAAGCGTTTTCAGTATCTAATATAATTCAGACAAGTTAAATGTACAACAGTTTCCATCGAGCTATGGTTACCTGACGGTGTACCAAAGGTAATCAGATGTATCTTTTGTTGTACTCATATGATCTAGCAATTTTTTGGCTCTCAACGAGGTATTTGAAAAGGTAGGGATAGGCTCTTTGTGCTCTTCCCATCTCCCAATCGAATCAAACTTGTGTCTTACTATCATTGATCTTGTATTGTACTGTATGCTTACCTGTTAATGAGAGTTAGCTGAGATGATTTTTCTTGCAGTTGTCTGCGGATAGGATGTGAACTGAACTTTCGACCAACAATTCTTGAATAGATTTGGTTTCTGTTCGATTATGTTTATCTATTAAGCTTAATAAACAATCATGAACAATATTTCAGAGTTCATTAATTAAAAGAACCTATTTATATTTGGTTTATTTACAACCGAAGATGTAAATGAGCTAAGTGTTCGTGAACATACTTAACTTTTGTTCGTTTATAAAGCTTAAGAATAACATTTCAAGATTTGTTAATTTAACGAACAAACCACAAATATAGCAAAGTTCATTCATGTTTGATTCATTTACCCTTCCAGCTACCGATGCATCAAAGTCAAAGAAATAAAGATACCAACAGAGAAACTGAAGACTGCAGATTTGAGTCTTACTTTTGCAGTATTAAAGGCTACATTTTGCAGTCCGGTAGGATGCTTATGGACATTGGAGGCAACTTATATGAAAAATTCTGGAAATGGACTCTAGCATTTGTGCTGTTGTCATTGTTCACCAGAAAAGAAGCACAGTCTCCTGATTTTCCTTTGAAGTAATATGCCTACCATAAACAGATAAAACAAAATTTCAACTGGAGGTAACATATATTTTTTGTCTACAAAGATTAAACAGACATGAATTTTGCTTATCACTAAGAGTTTTCTCACAGTTTGAAGTTGACCCAAAGATGAAGTTTCATATGCTCCAGAAAGTAGAAGATTTGTGCATAATCTTATTGCAGCATGCAATTCCTTAAGGTGACCCCATAAAGGTTGCCTAATTAAACCTGAACCCATCAATTAAACAACATTAATTCAGTTCGAAGTTAAAATTATTCAATAAAAAAAAAAATCATACCATATTCATCAAGAGGTGCTTGATCGTAGTAACTTGTAATTATTTTTGCAGCTGCTGTTCTTCCAAAATTGGTTCCTCCATGATACTGTCAACAGAATATATTATTCGAAAATAATTTTTTTAATTGATTGTTGTGTAAAGGTTGCAATTGGTTGGATCATTTTGACTTGGATCATCTCGGATCATTTGGATCCGAATCTTGGATTCAAGTCATTTTAAATTTGAATCTTTTAGTTTTGACATTGACGTATTCATTTTGAGTTCAAATTATTAAGTTTTAAAGTCAAATCAATTTGATTTCAGACTAATCATTCGGGTTTGGATATTTGAAGACCGTTAAAGATAGGTAGGAAGAGAGATTGTCCTTACCATATAGTAATTTACATAGCTTCCATTCTTGGCAATGAACAATGCAACTTGAAATGCAATATCTGTGGCTGATCTCATGAACACCTCTTGACCATATCTTTGCAAGCTTTAAACCAAAACAAAGAAAATTGGTTGATCATTACAAATGCTTTTTAAATTATTAGACTTTTCAAGTTTCAAGGTTATGAAAATGCAAAACATACAAACTTGTCCAGTTTTCAGTCCACATGGATGGCTTACGGGGAGAGTTGGGTCCTTCAAATTCTACTCCACATTTAAACCCGTTGCATGTATTGATCTGCATATGCCATAAAATATTGATGAAGAAAATAGATCAAAATTGAGATAAAGCCATGAAATATTAGAAAAGGAAGAACTAACCACAGGGTCAGGGGCATCTTGCTGGCTGCACATTATCCAGGGCACCCCTGTCTCAAGTCCCACAGCCAAGCCTGCAGCCCAATGAACATAGCGTGACCCTTTCCCATTGAAGGCTGATTCTATCCTTTGGTACTCGTTCTCTATCTGAAATTATGTGTACAAGTTTTTAGACCCATGTAAAAATGCAAAGAGAATTTTGGGTTTTCTCTCGATTGCAAAATCAAACCTGTGATAGTATGATAGGCCCTCCTTGGGAGGCATACAATTTCTCTGATTTCATCATGTTTACCACCTTTGTCACCCACTTTCTCATGTAATACTGTGATTAATGAGACAAACATTAGATCAACTTTTTTTTATATCAATATTCTCAAGTTTTGATATCAAGTTTAGCTACCTTGAACGGTTCATTATCAGATCGAAAAACAATCCCAGGAACATCGTGCAACCAAAAAGGCAGACCCCTGCATCACCAAAATCAGTTTCATCAAGCTCAATTTTGCTCATCAAACTATGGTCAATTTGTTCATAGGAGGAGAGTGCTAAAGAAGAAGGGAATGGCATTAACGGCAATGGCGATGATTTTTACCCATAAGTCCATTCACTCTCGATGAAGGGTCCAATTCTGAGGCAAACATACAGGCCATGGGCTTGGACTTCCCTTATGAACCCTATTATATCACGCCTTCCACTAAAATCGTACTGCAAAATGTTTCAAAAAAACTTTAATTGAATCAAAATGGAATCTATCATTTCACTAAAGATTGATGAATTTTATGTTATAACTTTTTTTTTTTTTATGATTTCAACCATACATAAAATTCAGTTGTTTCAAATATATATTTTATTATATTTAAAGTTATCAAAATTTAAATTTTAATTGCTTAAATAAAAAATTTAATATTCTACTAACCTATCGATTTATGAAAACATTAACAAAATGAGAAAGAGGGAAAGGAAATTTGAAGTTGAGTCATCACCTGTCCTTGTTGGGATTCATGGAGGTTCCAAAACACGTAAGTTTGAATCACATCTATGCCCCCTTGCTTTGCTTTGGCTATAAGTGATGGCCACATCTGGAATTTAGTTGCAACTTTAGCTGACTTTTCTTTCATATAACAAATTCAGCTCTCAAATGATTAAATGTTATTTTCAATGAATTTATATATATATATATATATTTAAGAAGAAAAGAGATGTCAAATTTAATTTTTTTGAATTAAAAAATAAGCATATTTACTATTGAATTAAATGCTTGGACGTGTTTCAATCTTTATATAATTTATGCAAATTTTAACAAACTAAAAACATCATACTTGGATCAAATTGGAAAATTATCACCGGCTTCCCCCAACTGTCAAGTTGAGACTGTGTTGCAACTAAATTTCATCATTAATTCAGGTTTTTTTTAGTAAAATCATTAGTTCAGTTCACAAGTGAAAAAAGAAATTCATCTTATAAAAAAAAGGAAATTCGATAACCTCATTAATAATACTCTTTTCAAAATAAATGGAAAAGAATGACCTTTTTTTTTTTTTTGCCAATAAAGAATTATCTCATTCAATCCTCATCATCTATTACATTACATCAAATATAGCTTTAGACACTCACGCACACACATATATAGAGTATAAAATTAAAAAAGTTTTATATTTTTTTTAATCATTGATTTTAATAAATTTGAAAATAAAATTAAATCATTTTTTTCTATTTTTACTTGTTTCATTCATTTTTATTCTATTAAAATCCATAATTAAAAAAAATATGTAAATTGTAGCATATATATAACTCCATCTGTAACTTCAGAGTAAGTCATCAATCTACAAAGAAATTTATAGATTTTTTTAAATTTTTTAAATTTATAAATCATTTTTGATAAAAATCATTTGAGAATTGAGTATTAATAGACATGGGATGCATGTTGAAGAGATTTTTCAACGTTGTGGGTTCGAAATGACTTAGACGTATAATATTATTTTCAAGCGAGTTAAATAAATAGAAATAAAAAATTAAGTATAGATTAAGAATTAAAAAGTTATTTATAAATGTTAAATCAACAAAGAATAAATAAAATTGTGATGTAGCAAAAAAAAAAAATTGAGATGGACACTTAAACTTTGCCTTTGAATTTTTATTAGAATTATGATTAATTACTCAAATATATTCAATCATTTTTTATAGACCCAATTATGACCCATTTTTAAGAGAAAGATGGATGATTATATTAGCCAATTTTCAACATTTTTCTAGTCTTCCATCAATGAACAGTTAGCAAGAACTTAAAAATAATAAATAAATAAAATAAGAAAGAAACCCACAATCTGATAAAGATCTTGAAGTTTTCTGTAGGGAAAAAGCAAGGATTTAACTATGTTATCTTGTATCACGTCAAAGCCCTTGATTTTCTCAACAAATTTCATAGGAAATATTAGCTTACCCTATCTTCTAAGATGATTTTATTGCATGAATGATCATGAAGGCTTGTAGCCAAGGCACAAACTTTCTCTTTCTCAGGTACTTAACAATACATGAAAAAATGGTATGATTAACAAAGTGTATTTTAGAAAATTTATTTGCATTTAATTTATACACTGTTTTAATCAAATTTAAAATTTTAATTATAATTTTTTTAAATATCACTTTAAATAGAGTTTTTTTTTGTATAAAAACTTTATAATTTGAGAATAAAAAAAATTATAGGTATTGAAATTTGAACCGTAAATATATTATGTACTACTTTTTAATAATAATTACACGAATAAATTGAATTGAGTTTTGAATTCACTTTAAATCATGTCTTTAAGCATTGGTTAACATTTTTCTTAAAAAATATGGATTCATTTTTCAAAAATATTTTCTTTCACAGCAGGAGAGAATTAATTAGGAAAAAAAAATCAAAAGCAAAATAAAAACTATTTGTATATAAAGATAAGATACCTGTGGAGTGCTACGAGGATAATGAATTGAACCGGAGAAGAAAATCCTATGTTGGCCATCGATGATCAAAGATCTGCCATCGTATGTTACATTCCTTCCGTGACCATGAACATGGCAGTTGCCAAAAGCGGCAGCTGCCACAAAAGCAAAAACCAACCAAAACGACCCTAACATCTCTATTCATATATATACACTATAGTTTCTTGTAGGTCATTTCCTTCTTCCTTAACTTATATAAACACACTTGGAGGATTTTATGGATAGGCTCTACCTTTTTCTTTCCCTTTTAGAAACGAAAGTTGGCAATATATATTCAACATGGGAAAATAAATTTTAATAAGTAAACATGAAACCTTTTTTTTTTTTGTAATATATATTATGTCCTTTTCCGTTTAAGTTTTAATATATAAGTGTGTGTATATATATTTCTAAAAATGGAAAGTATTCCATTTAAATAAAAGTAATAATTTAATTATTTATTTTCATTAAAAAAAACCTAATTATCGTATCTAATATTTATTATAACACAACCATTATCCTTATATATTCTTTATGTTATTAATTAATGAAAATTTAGTGTTGTTTTTATTTTCTGTCTTATTAATTGCTATATTTAAGGAGGGGACATTATTTGTTATCAGTGCACTGGTGAAAGGGAGTGGAAAATCCTGTAAAACCCAAGGATTTTGCTCTTTAATATATATATATATATATATATATATATATATTGTAGCAAAGGCATAAAAAACCATATCTCCATAGTTTAGAATTTTTTTTTTGTGGTAAATACAAATAAAAATGTACAAATTTAATTTAAAACTAGGAAGACCGATCCTCCTTAACATAAAGGAAATAATAAATTGAAATCTAAAACAAACTAAATTATGATCAATGTGATGCACAAAATAATTTTATGTATTTTATGAGTATACATATAAATTTGTATTTTTTAAAATTATATTTAAATTTTTAAAATTTATATCATATATAAAATTTTATATCTGATTAATTTGTCATAAAACATAATTTTTTTAAAGTAAAAAGAAAATGATATGTCTTCATTTTGTGTCATTTTTATTTACAATAATATTTATACACTTAAAATTTATATCAAATAAAAATAAATTACGTGTCTTTCTTAAAAGAACAAAAGCATATATATTATTGAATGATAAATTAAATAATAAAGTACATGGTACTTTTATTTTTGTAATTTTAGTCAAATTATTATACAAAATATGAAAAACATAAGAAGATGTGTGAAAAAGAAAAATTAATTAAAAAAATCAATTTTCATAAGAACAAATTTACAATTGCAATAGAATATGTACCTTTGGTAAAAGAAATATGCAAACCAAAAAAAAAAAATTGTAATAGCAATAAATTTTAAAAAAACTACAAATTGAAAAATAAAAAAATAATATAACACATTACATTTATAATTTTTAAGTTGTAAAATAACTCTTGGATGACATTTAGAATTGAATAAATAATTTTTCAATTGATATTTTAAAAAAATTAAAAGGATATAATAAGTAATAAAAATTAAATCAAATTTCTCACCTATTTTTTAAATATAAAATTGATAGTTAGAGTTAAACTAGATATAAGTGCTATTATTTAGAGATTTAATACGAAAAGACTATTTGAATTTTTAATATTTTATATAAAATTTTTACAAAATAATTTTTGTTTGATACAAATTAAGATAAAAAAAACCTAATGAGTTTTTTAAAGATTCTTATAAATTTAATTTTTATATTTTTAAAACATGACGAAAGATTCTCATAATTAAATAATTAATTAAATAATGTTATCTAGTAAAAAATTAAAATTATTTGGAAAAAATTCATATTTTAAATTTTTAATTAAAAAATATATTTTTAGATTAATTTGATTTGCAATTATAATTTTAATAATTTTAATTTGAATAAATTTAAAATTATCTAATTTGTAATTAAAATAAGTTATACTCTTTAAAATAACTATTTTAAATGTCATTTAAAAAATTATCCACGTAAGTATTTATGTAATAAAATTTATTAAGTGTTTATGTATAATATTATAAAATAATATATATGATATATGATACATGATGAGATTGAAAAAGACTAGGCTATTTAGATAGCACAACTTGATAAATTAAAATCCCAAAAATAATTTTGAATTTGTTTTCTATTATGTCGTCCACAGGGTTATTTAACTTCACTGGTTTAACTAAAAGATGACAAATGCTAATCCGTTGCTGAAATTTAAAAATTTTAATAATAATGGATCAAATAATTTTTTAAAATCTAAAATTTTTTTTTTTTGGGTGCAATTCAAAATTTTCTCTTTCTGTTCTAAGAATACATTGTATTCGAGTTATTATTGCTTATCACATTATTTCCACCCTTTTTTTCTTAATTTCTACTATTGCTGATGCACACATGACAAAGATCTTTAGATTTTATTTATTCAAAAACGGCATAGCATGTAAATGATAAATATCTTTTATTTTGCTTTTTTTAAACATTTCCTCTATATATAGCATTAAGTTCTTATTGTAAGTCCTCTTTCATTATATAAGATCGCATACTTTGAAGTTGACTAGTTGCACATGCTTTATGGCTATAATTTTGATTAACAAGTCAGACAGAGGGTTAACCTTCCCAAGGTTGATTTGAATCAATTATTGATTAAGACAAAATTATTCCCTGTCATCTCAAATCTGTCCCGTTGACATCGAACTAATTAGCTCATTTAAGTACAAAATTAAATGGGAAAGAAGAAAAAAAAATTAAGGTGAGAAACCTAAATATCATTTCATTGTTGTTTTACTATTTAATTTTTTTTCTTTTTTTTTTTCTAACAAAATTATTTGAATATAAGGGTATAAATAAGGTTTTCTAATAATTAAAAATCATATTTTACCAACAAGTGCTATTAACGCATTAATTGGAAATTATCTTGGGTATAGTGTTTTTTTTTTTTTTTTCAATGTGTTGAAATTCAAAAAATAACTATAATTACTGCATTTAATATAAAAATATTATTATAAATAATAATTTAATTAATCTAAGAAAGTTTCTTAAGGCATTCTATGACAAAACTCCTAATATAATATATAACTCTGTTAGATAATTAAAAATATGAATTTAATTTTGAATAGAATATAATTATGTTAGAATGTATATTAGTTTTTTTTTTAATTATACTTATAATCAAGTATTATATTCATATAATCAATTATTATATTACTGAATAATCAATTAATAAACTATAACTTAACTAAACTACCAAACTCATACATAGTATGACTTGAATCTAAGATCTTAAATCATATTTGATGCATAGAATTATTGATGAAAAATAATGATAATTATCTTATATCATATTTGATTTATATTTAAAGAAAGAGATAGAAATTATAAAAATGATTAATATCTTTTTGGCATAGGATTATTCAATCATATTTTAGTGAAAATGATTATTTTTAATTCATGAAATTAAACTTACATGTCCAATTATATTTTAAAGATTATATCAATAATTTAAATTATATAGAATTTGAGAAAAAATAATTTTGACAAATAAATAAATTATCTTATCATATTTATTATATATATCAAATATAAAATAAGATGATATTATTTAATTTAATATTATTTATAATATCATTTTATCTTATCATATTATAATCTTATGTACCAAATATAACCTTAATGTTTTAGAATCTTTTTCTTGCCACTAAGCTAAGGCCTCATTGGCATATATCAGTATAATCTAATCATTGGTTTATTTTATTTTATAACAATCTTTTAAATTTTAAAAATTAAAAAAAAAATAACAACAAACGATAAGTAAGAAAAAAAAAACCTAAAAAAGCAACTTTTTCTTAGTAAAAGTGTATTTGATAAATTATTTTACCTTTTAATTTTTAATAGTTATCTCAATATTTATTATTTTTTACTTTTTTTGACCAAAAACAATCAAAAGGGCTTGAAAATTATATTAAAAAAAAAAAGTCCAGCACAGCATATATATTGGGTCAGGCCCAAAGAACCTCAACTCGACCAGCCCAACACTTTTTCTAATAGTAAAAGCCTTTTCTGATGTGTATTTTTTTTTTCTTTAAAAAAGAATGGAAAGGTTGGGCCTTTGGAAACTGGACTGACTTCCAAGCCATCTTACAGTCTTCTTTCTTCTTCATTTAAACTCGCTTTTGCTAAAATCAAATCAGTTTCTCGCGGAATTAAATTTTATAGCAAAAAACCCTTAATTCTCTGATGTCGGTACGTTTTATTTATTTATTTTTTCTGATTCTCTTTTTTATTTTCTTTGTTGAAACCTTAATTCTTTCAAGTTTAATAAAAGTTTTATTCTTTTGGTGGATGATGATGCAGATCTTCGAGTACAATGGGAGTGCCCTAGTAGCCATGGTAGGCAAGAACTGCTTCGCCATCGCCAGCGATCGGAGACTCGGAGTTCAACTCCAAACTATCGCCACCGATTTCCAGAGGATTTTTAAAATCCACGATCGTCTCTTTCTCGGTCTCTCTGGCCTCGCCACCGATGCTCAAACCTTGTACACTTTTTTCCCTTAATTTTTTGCTCTTTCTGCTTATGTTTTGTCCTAATATTTGGGTTTTTAAAAAAAAATTGAAGGTATCAAAGGCTTGTCTTTCGGCACAAATTGTATCAGCTGAGAGAAGAGAGGGACATTAAACCCGAAACTTTTGCTAACCTTGTTTCTGCTCTTCTTTACGAGAAAAGGTTTGATCAAAGCCCCCACCCCCCACTTACTCATTTTTGCTTTAGTTGAATTTTTTATTATTTAAGCTTAGCTCTTAAGATTAATGGAACGAATGGGAAGCATTATTTTGTTTTATATTGCCAAATACTAACTCTTGTTTTTGTTAAGTAATAGGAGAGAAATTAATTTCTTAAGGATAGCGGGTGAATAAGATCGTAGGAGTAGCCGAGAAGTGTAAAATGAGATTTGTTTTTGCTGTTTACTACTTTTGAATAATACTAGTTACCATGGCTGAAAGTAAAGGTATTTCTTTTTAAAGAAACCAAGCTTGGGAGAGGAAAATTTTACGATGCACATGTCAAGGGAAAAGCCTTACTTATGTCCTTGAAGGGAACTAACCCACTTTTCTTATGATAAGAAACTGAGCTTCAAAGATACTCTTCACCTGCCCACTTCATAATTTCAAGTTTAGTCTTAAACCTAATGGACTCTTGTTTTCCTAATCAATTCGAGCCGTTCCTTTATGGTATGTCAAGTTTGAGAGGAATTTGTAGGAAGTGTTAGATTTGGTTTGAGAACTGTACTTTGAAAAGGGTGCACTTTTTTATGTGTGTCAGAGCTAAGTTTTGTGACACTTTTGTCCATAGGTTTGGTCCATACTTCTGCCAACCAGTAATTGCTGGATTGGGAGTTGAAGACAAGCCCTTCATTTGCACCATGGATTCCATTGGAGCCAAGTAAGTTGATTTCATTCTCTTGTAATTTTTGAAACAAAAAAGCATGAAGTTGTCTTAGTTGCTTAGAATATTCATGTATATATATATATATATATTTACTTATACTGTAATATTTACCTAACCAAGAGGCTTGTTCTTGTAAACTAAATGCATGTAACTTTCCCCTTGGCTAATATAAGCTCTGCCTTTTCATAAGAAAAGTGGGTTATTTCCCTTTTCATATCTTAACCGAAAGCCAAAGAAAGAAGATCTTTTACTCTACGATAACAGATTGTCTCGATACCTGTGATAACTAAGCGAAAAAAAACCAGAAATTTGAACACTGTTTACTAACAGAAACCACAATTGTTCAAAAACCAGAAATTTGAGCAATTTTTAGTAAAATAACCTGCTATTTTTTCAAAACCAGTAATTTGGGCACTGATTAATAAAAGAATCCCACTATTGTTCCAACTCCATCATCGGCAACTCATTACAAGCATGAGCCTTGACACTTGACAAACAAGAGCTTGAGATATCAATCAATGATTGTGTGATGTTAGCAAAATTAAGAGCAACAGCCACTATGCGTTCTTTAATTCGTCTCTTCACACACATGATAAACTGGAAGAAACCATCCCTTAGCCAGTAGCCACCAACTCTATAATTAATTTCTTTTTATAAAAGATTTTTTTTTTGTATGTCGATGTTAATAATTTTAAGAAATATAAATCTTAAAAATCCTTTACCTGTTTTCTTTGGTTTTCAAGGGAACACAAAATGCATATATTTATATTGATTGCGTTAAAAAGAAAAATTCAAAAAGTTTGGTGGTCAGTGGCTCTTTAAAATGGAATGGCTATGGGGTTTGATTTTTACAGACCACCATATGTTCATAGATAGCTGTGATCCTCTTCTCTTTTCTGACTTTTAAATTGGTAACTTCCAAATTGGAGGACAGGTGCAACTACCCTTCCTGAAATAGCAGTAGCTTAACAAGCAGAAGAAATATCCAAGTTATCATAGTCTGCAATTTCCTTTTGAATGCCAAGAAAACTTTAAAAGGATATTTCTGGCATGATTTTCAACATCTAAGGAATTCTGGATAATATCACAATTTGTCATGTGTCATTTCCTTGTCATGTCTCTCTCTCTCTCTCTCTCTCTCTCCCCTCTGGAGATTTGACTAATACGTGCCTGTTAGTGTAGCCTACAAGCTGTATCATGTGATTTAACTTTCATTTTGTGTTTATCTATATTTTGGTTACCAATGAGTTGGATTATTGCCTCGCAATACTATTTTAAATCTTATGGTTTGAATGATTTCTTTGTATTCTTTGTTTTGGTTATTGAAAGCCTCTTGAAGAATGCTGACACTATTCCGTTGATATGTTTGCTTTCTTGTAAATGTAGGGAGCTTGCAAAAGATTTTGTTGTAGCTGGAACTGCCTCAGAGTCTCTCTATGGTGCCTGCGAGTCAATGTTCAAGGAGAACATGGTTTGTCATTTTATTTATTTTCCTATGCTCAAATTGAAACACATGCGCATTAGTGATGAATCCTTTTAAGAAGTGTAAAATTCCATTCCTTGTATGCTTGTAACCTAAAAGCTAAGGCATGATACCCATTTTGGGAGCACATAAGGTTACAGTTTACTGGGTCATAGCTGAAAGTATTATGGTTATTAGCTATAAAATATTCATGCCAGAAATACAATTCATGCTTTGTTGACTTATTGTTTTCTTCTTATTCAGGAACCAGAGGAATTGTTTGAAACAGTCTCCCAAGCTCTCCTTTCATCAGTAGATCGTGACTGTCTGAGTGGTTGGGGAGGACATGTCTATGTTGTGTAAGCATTTTCAAATGTTTTTCATATATAATGTCCTAGCATTTTTTTTCCAAGGTTCATATTCATTATAGGTTTGCCCAAGAGAATCTGGTTGTTTATAACCCACGAAATTCTTCCCTTTCCCCTATCGAGAAATGCAGTATTATGTCTGGATGGCTAAAAAACCTTAAATATTTGTAGTAGAGGTAGTTGGTGCCGCTGTAATGTTTTTGATATATACATTTTGCAGCACGCCTACAGAAGTAAAGGAAAGAATCTTGAAGGGAAGGATGGATTGAGTGCAGCCAAGTGTTTTCAAGATTCTTCATTGCCAAACTACAAAACTTGCAGTTTATTTGTCATTGGCTAGTGCTTGAATCTGATGTACTCCGATAAATTCTGAAAAATGTGATAGACAAATTTCTACATTATGGGCAGGCATGGTTGATTTCTGGTGCACGTGATGACTTAAATATGTTTTTCCGGTTGATGCTTCTTAGTGGAAGTTTAAACATGATAAAGCAACAGAAAATTGATGCAATTTCATTTTCTTGTATATTATTTAGGGGTGTTTGGTTCACAAATTTTTAAATTTTGAGAAAAAAAATTATTTTCGAGGATACTTTGGAAAGGATGAATTTTTTTTTCATAAAAATGTTAGATTTTTTTATTTGATTAAAAAAAACTCTCATCACGTAACTATGTTTTTTTTATAATCATGTCAAAGATTATATGTTTATAAATATAAACGTAATTTTGGATCAAAAATATAAAATTAAATATATTTGAAGATATTTTTGTTATAAAAAATGTATATAAAATTAAATATAGTAAAATTTTTTATTTTTTTATTTAAATGTAGCATTTAAAACATAGGCTACGTGAAAATAAACATAGTGTTTAAATAATTAAATCTCCTAGTATCATTTAATTAATAGATTGTATTTAATTAAAAATAACGTTTTTTTAAGAAGAAATGTAACTTTAATTTTATCAAAACTACGTTTATAAATACACAACGTAGTATTACATGCGAAGTTGTTGCTGCTAATGATAATATTCAGTTGCCACGTGTAGAGATGTGAGCTTTGTAATTTTTCTTCGAATAAGGTTCTTCCTTGGAGATATGAAATGATACGGTTTCTTGGAGTAAGGTTCTTCCTCGGAGACATGAAAAGATAGGTCTTCCCAAATTACCAGCCTTTTGCCAACAAGCAATGGAAAAATGACACGTAATAATTTGTGGCATTTTGAATGACGTGTTGCAAGATATGCAGCGGAATTCGCAAAGGATTAGCCGCTTCGGATGACGACCAGAAAAATGTGTTTATATTGGAGTTTGGACATGGCAGTACAGCCATAATTTTTAATATAAAAATAAAGATTATGTTTTTTGTATTAAAAATATGGTCATTGATATTAAGGATTATATTTTTATATTAAAAAAATATAATTAAAAGTATCAAAAATATTTTTATAATATCATATTAATTATTATGTTTTAATATAAGAAACATTATTAATATAAAAACATCTATTTTATTTTGTTATTATTTTTATTGATTTACTATGATTTACATATAAAAAAATTCATGTCAAAATGAATCTCCATTTATTATATAATTATTTAATTTTTAAGGGTAAAATAAATAAAAAAATTTATTATTGAGTTTAAATGTGGGACAAAATAAACTTTTTTTTTGAAATTTTAAAAAATCACATAAAGAGTTGGGTTTTTAATTTTGTGATATTTGAGTATGATTGAAAATTTTAGATTATCCCAAAAATCAAATATCCATGAACTAAACGTAAGAATCATATTTCAAAAAACAAGATTTCAAGAAAAAACTCAAATTCTCTTAAACCAAATGTCCATTACGGTATTATTTAATGAAACATAGTAAAAGCATATTCAAACTCATGCCCGACAAATATTCAAGTCATATTTATTGTTTAATAAAGATTTAATTATACTTTTAGTATTTGAATTTTGAAAAAAATATATAAAATGATATTTTGAAAAATAAAATGTCTAATTTATATTTTGATATTTAATACATCATTGCAATTCAAATTATAATACTTTTAATTTAATACGGTCTTTAACCAATATAATTTGTTACATGTATGCTATTTATTAAAGAGAAATATTAAATATTTTATAAAAATTCCATATAAATGTTATATGGATGTCAATTTACAAACAATAATTAACCAATTTTATATAAATTTTTTATGGTTCGAGTGAAAAATATATTTATTAATTTATATTGAAAAAATATATTAATAGTATGTGTAGTGAACACATAACTTAATTACATTTGTCAAACATCACATATATATAAGCTAATATGATTAGTGTGATTAAAATTTAAGTTAACATAATATATAATTTGAAAGTTCATGGTACAAATTGTATATTTTATTTATGTAATTATTAATTTGAATATTTTCTTAAAATTAAAGTACCAAACATCTAATTAACTCTTTAAAAAATCATAAAGTAGATAAAATTTTGAATTTAGGAAGAAAAAGACAAGAAATGGGTTAGAAGAAGGGGAAAACATGTTGTTTTAGAGACAGTTACATCGTCCCTTATGAATTGAGGCAAATAATAGGGTTTTATCCCCTCCTTTCATCCTTCAATAATAATAATGATAATAAATAGAACCTTGTGTCTTTATCTCCCACTCATAAATTGTAACTATAATTTTTTTAATAAAGAAGGATATAATTTAAAGATAAAAAATTGCAAGTAATGTAATTACTCCTTCCATCTCAAAATGTTTGGGCTATATTGACTTTTATTGACTTTTACAGAGTTCAAGAAAAAATTGACTTTAATGTATTTAATATTAAAATTAAAAATTTTTATTAAATTAAAGAATTTTTTATTTTTAATGTTAAAAAATAAAAAAAATCATAAAACATAATTTTAAATTATAAAAAATAAATTTTAGATATTAAAAAAAAGACATAATTTTGAAATATCTCAAAAAAATATGGACAAAAATAATAGGACAAAAGGAGTATACTTTTACATCATGATAATGTCCCATTCTTTTCTATACCAGCTTGTTAGCAAATAACATGGTTGGCAACATTTCAAATTTTAGTGTTGGCTTTCACCTAGATTGTAGAGACCTAATTTATCCAGATAATTCTAAATTTATTTGACTTTTATGTTCGATTTGATTTGACCCATTTGAATTTTGATTCGAATTAACCGATTTGAGATTATTTTTGTATGAGTTTAAGTCCAATTCAGTTATCAGGTCAATGTTGAATTTAGATTGGAAAGCCCAATTAAAAGGTTCAAAGTCCAATTAAAAGTTCGATTTTCTTAAAGCCTGGTTCAACGCATTGGGGCTTGAAAGCCTAGAAACCTAAAATTTTATCTTTAATCGTAGATCCCAAATTATTCATTTTTATGATTAATTTGATTATCTTAATTAATTAAAATAATAATTAAAAATCAATCAAAAATTAAATACCAAAAAAAAAAGTGTTCAGAGGGTCAGCTGCTAGGACAACAACCTCCCCTCACTTTCTCTTATCCCTAAATTTTTTCTTCTTCCCTCCAAAATGTCAATCCCATTTCTAGCTTAATCTATTTTACCTACAGCACCATTGTAAAAAATGATCTAAACCCATAAACAAAGAAACACAACAGCCATTGCTACCATAACAAACCAAAAACCTCATCACTTTTTTAGATAAAATTCAATGAAGGATAGAGGAAAAAAGAAGAAACCAATACCCATTTGACTCTCTTGTAAAAAACTACTTCCAGAATCCACCCAGGAAGACACCAGTCCCTTCAACCCATATAAGTCTTTCCCCACACGAGAACAGAAAATACAACTTCACCTTCACCAAAAACCAACCCCTACATGCACCCAACACCCAGCCCTTAACACCACCAGTGCCAACAACTCAAACAGCCAGCTTCAAACACCATTCAACCTTTACATTAGTACCATATCATACCTTCTACGCATCTCTAGCCTCTATGCATCCTAAACCCAACTAGTTCTACCTTCACACAATCTCTGCGTATGCCCTCACCAACACTTCGACCTACTTTCATTGCCCCAACACCAAGACCTCAACAAAAAGAAAGCCAAATACCTTGTTACTCCCCCTATCACCAAATTTTCATCCAACCTTCGACCACCATAAGCCTAAAAAAAAACCACCCGTAATCCCCGTATACCCAAAAGTCACCCAAGCAACCACCTAACATAAAAAAAAAACTACATAAAAAAATAAAAAAAACCTATCAGCCACCATTGCCATCACGACCACTATAAAAATAAATAAATAAATAACAACCTAAGTTATCCAAGAAAAAGGCCTCATTCAGCCTCATAAAAACAAAAAACAAAATCCAAAAAAAAAAATCACAAAATGAAAAATACAAAGAACCACAACCCTTGGGATGAGGATATAGACATTGAATTTTGTTTGGACTATTTTAACACAGTTAACCTGAGCTCAATTTTAAACTTGGGCTAAAACCATAAAATGAAACCCATTTCAAGCTCACAAGTTGGCTCATTTAGAGACCCAATTACAAATAAAAACTGAGCTTAGAATTAACCCTTAAAAGTGACCAAAAACATGTCCCAAAATCGAGACAAAGAAAAGCCCATATTGCATCCTTGTTAGCTCTCATGACTTCTTGCTTGGAAAAGGAAACATATCAACGAAACATAAACTATCGGCACCAACATAAATACTTGTAGAAGAAAAAAGACAAAAGGAAGTGATTTGGTACAAGTAGTGGCCGGCCAAGGTAGTGAAGGGGAGCAAAAGAAAACAAAAGAAAAACTTGAGGAAGAAGAAAGAGGAGTGATCTTTGGGTCTTATAAAAGGCTTTCCAATAGAAAAAAAAGGTGGGGAAGAGGTTTTTAGCAGTTTGAATTTTTTTAAGAAGCCAAGAGGAGAGGATAAAAAAAAAGCAAAAAAAAGAAAAAAAATTGAAAAAAAAGAGATTCGAGTAACTAGAGAACTATAAAAAAAGAGAAGCTTTAATGAGCCACCAGCAGGAACAAAAAAAAAGTATGAAGAAAAAACCAAAAACAAAAATGAAAGAAGGTAAAGTTTCACAACTATTTCTTTTTTTCGTAAAAGCTTGGAGCCTTGCTTCTTTCCCGCATGCTCTCATTTTATTTTTTTAGTGCATAATGCATTTTCATGTTAGTTGTTGCATAGCCTCATTTTTTGCTAGCTATGGCATTGAAACATCCTACTGTTACGTGAAGAACTTACGGCTATATCTTTTTTCCTTCATGGTTTTCTCTTTTCTATATAAGGTTGTTATAAATGGTCAAAGCTTGTTTTGCTTTTTTTATGTTCTGTAAGAGGTCTACTTGTAGGTGTTTAAGATTCTAATTTATTTGTGAATTTTCATCTTTCTTTCT